TATATTTGTGCAACGATATCGTCAATTAAATTTAAGTTGAGGGTTACTTCTTAGATAAAAGATAAAAATATATCCATATCAAGCATTTTAAAGCACTTTGATAAATGTATGATATATTTTACCAGTCAAAATACCGTCCGTCCGATGCATGGTAAACAATGTCCTATCCATGGTGAATTTTGCGTTATTCTTAAAAACTCGATTTTTGAGGATAATTTCTCAATAAAGGGCATATAATTGTGTCCCAAATTGATATTTTAATCACAAACTAAATGTTAAACTCCATTTTGATAATTTTCCGTCGATAGCGATATCGCGAGAACTTGTTGAAGTACAAGGGTATCCGATGCATTGTGAATTCACCCTATTTGTACCGAACGGATGTTTTATCTTGCTCGTTATGTTTTGGTGCCGTGACCAGACCGTGACTAAACTTTAGCAGAGAATGGAATTACGCAAACTTAAAGCCACCAGGGCTGGAAACAGAAGCGCTGTTTCAAGGAAATTAAATAGATATGAAGGATCCGAAGGATGTTCCAAAAAAGAACTCTTGTTAATTTACGAAGACTTGATGAAGAAAAGAAGTCTAATGGAGAATTTTGATGAGCAAATACTGAGTCAGACAGCTGAGGAGGAGATCGAGAATGAAATCATTGAGACAGATGAGTATAATTCAGAGTTAGACATAAGACCGATGCGCTTTAAAGAGTTCATTGACAAAAATTTTGCACATGTAACTGGGGAGATAGATTCTTACATGTCAAATGATGAAGGTGCCTTATTAAATCCTCTTGAAATAAATCAAATTCCATCTGATCATACAACAGTCCCTAGTTATGCTGTCCCACCTGTACATGAGCATTTTCCTGTGTCAATGCCGTCTGGAAGTTTATCTACTGCTTCTAACCACAAGCTACCTAAGTTATCGTTACCGACATTTAATGGAAACAAATTAGAGTGGCAATCGTTTTGGGACTCCTTTAGTTCTGGGATTAATGAAAATATTAGTTTAAGCAATGTTCAGAAGTTTGATTACTTGAAATCATTGCTCCTGGGTGAGGCCTTACTTGTCGTAGAGGGATTTACTCGCACTAATGCATACTATGCAAAGGCAATTGAGCTTTTGAAGGAGAGATATGGGCAGCCACACAAGATTACAAGAATATATATGCAAGCACTCCTGGATTTAACAGAACCGAGTGATTCCTTACACAGTCTGAGAGAATTTTATGACAAGATGGAAACGTATGTGCGGGGGTTAGAAACATTAAACCAAACGGAAGAGAGTTATGGAAGCTTCCTAGTTCCAGTAATTTTAAGAAAATTACCCTAAAAAACAAAACAAAACTTTGCCATGTCACATGGAAGTGATGATTGGACACTGGGGGAACTACAGAAGACCTTGCAACATGAGCTGTCAATTCTTGAAGCTGGATCAAACACTGATGCAGATTGGTATTCTAGTGACTCGACATTTCAGAGAACAGCAAATTTTCATACAAAGGCATTTAAGGGCAAACCAATTAACAACAGGAGACAACCAGTTTTGCAACCCAAGACTACGCCTGAAACCAGAGATGCGAGTATGTACCAAAGCAAATCCTGTGTATTCTGTGATGATAAAAATCATATGGGAGGTAACTGCACCTTAACCAGTGAACGAAAGAAAATGATAGTGAAGCAGAAATCATTATGTTTCAACTGTCTAGGATCTCATAGAGTCAAGGACTGTCCTTCAAAGACAAATTGTAAAAAATGTGGGAAATGCCACCACACTTCCCTATGCGCGGGATCAAGGGAAACAACACACGAATCAACATATCATGTCACATCGGAAAACATCCAGTCGTCAACAAAGTACGAGAAGGTTATTCCTTCTTCAACAAGTCTACACGCGTCTTCAATGACAAATATTCCAACAATACTTAACACAGCGACAGCCCAAGTTAACAAAGGAGAAACAGTCATGGACACAACTGTTTTATTTAATGAGGGATCACAAAGGTCATTCATTACAGAAGAACTAGCACAGAATCTGAACTTGAAACAAACTGGAACTGAAACTCTGATGATTGCAGCATTCGGTGGAAAAGAAATAATGCGGACTTTGAAAACGTCAACTTTATTTCTGATTGCGGATTCTGGGGAAAGAATTCAGATTCATGTAGTTATTGTACCATGTATTGCCGCCAAGATCCATAGGCATCAAATACCGATCAAAAACCTCCCTTACCTAAAAGGATTGAAGTTAGCACACTCCTATGATGGATCGACATTTGATGTTTCTCTTCTTATTGGAGTTGATTACTACTGGGACATTGTCGGAAATGACATCATACGGGGACCTGGACCAACTGCTGTAAGCTCTAAAATAGGATATCTACTTTCAGAAGTAGGCTGAAGATAGGGTGCTTGACAGTGACAACATTTTAAAAATTCTAGGATTGAGATGGAATCCAAAAACAGACCAAATTTCCTTTCCAAAACTTGATTTAGACATCAATAGGAAATTTGCAACAAAAAGAGAAGTTCTCAGCCAATTATCCAGGATTTTTGACCCACTAGGAATTTTGAGTCCTATTACTATTAGAGCCAAACGTCTTATGCAGGACCTTTGGCAGGAAAATGTTGCCTGGGATGAAAAACTTCCAAAAAATTACCAGGAGAAATGGTATGAACTTACCAAGGAACTTGCTGAATTGTCGTTGACCACAATACCAAGGTATCTACGTGAACACTCAGCCTCAGAGTGTACTGTTCCTAATCTGCATATATTCACAGATGCCAGTAAGAGTGCTTATGGAGCCTGTGCATACCTTGTCACAGAAAATACCTCACATCTGATAATGGCAAAAAACCAAGTCGCACCTATTAAACCTACAACCTTACCTCGCCTAGAGTTGATGGGAGCCGTAATTGGAGCCAGATTAGCCAACTACCTCAGTGGCATATTGAACGTGAAATCAACAACCTTATGGTGTGACAGTCAAATTGTCCTTCATTGGCTTCAGTTGAAAAAGCCAATGAATCAATTCATCACCAATAGAAAAGCAGTGATTGAAGAATTAACAAAAGGGCATACATGGAAATACATTCCAACTAATTCCAATCCTGCAGATCTTCAAACAAGGAGAATCTCATACAAACAATTTAAAGATAACAGTCTTTGGATGAATGGTCCTACATGGTTAACAGAACCATCCCAGTATCCCAAGTGCGAAATCTCAAGGACATCTGCTTTAACAACATCTACAGACAAAGAAAATACGGAGGATGGATCGAAGAATATCGTCATTCCTGGTGTCAGCAGCATCATAGACATATCACGATTCAGCAATCTACAGAAACTACTAAGGGTTACATGTTATGTTTTGAGATTCGTGAGAGTCTTCAAATCTTCCAGTGAACGCAACAATCAACAGAGGAAGAGATCTTTTTTTATTTGTGAAACAGCCTCAACTAGATGAAATGAATGAATCAACAGTACTCTGGATTAAGGATGTACAACAAAAAGAATTCCAAAATGAGATTACTGCTATGAATGGAGGTAAACAACAAACATCGCTACAGAAGCAGCTGAAACTTTATTGAGATGACAAAGGATTATTACGCTGTAAAGGTAGAATTGACAATTCTTCTTTAGAGGACTCGGCAAAATATCCAGTACTGTTAACCAAAGAAACACCAGCTTACTGACCTGATAATAATGGATATCCACAAAAGAAGTTTACACTCAGGATGTTCCCAAACCATCACAGAAATTCGTCATTTTGGATACCAGCGAGAAGACAGAGCGTTAACGTGCTAAAGAAATGTATTCCATGCCAGAAGGTAATAGGACAACCATTTCCATTACCAGATCCACCACCACTTCCAAAGGACCGTGTATCAGACTGCATACCCTTTTCGATTGCTGGAGTAGACTCTGCCGGACCCCTTCATGTCAAAGTAAATAGACAAACCAAAAAGATGTACCTATGTCTGTTTACATGCACAACAACCAGAGCTGTTCATCTAGAACTTGTTCAGGATCTCTCAACTGAAACATTTGTATTAGCATTCAGAAGATTCATCACCAACAAAGGAATGCCACACACCATTTGCTCAGACAATGGATGAACATTTTTACCGGCACAGCGATGCATCATGGAGGAAACAGGCTTAAATATTAACTGGAAGTTCATACCTAAAAGTGCACCATGGCATGGAGGTTTTTGGGAACGTCTGATCAGGATAACGAAAACAACTCTGCGGAAAATTCTTGGAAAGGCTTTAGTTAGTGAGACGGTCCTTCGAACCATACTTTGTGAAACAGAAGCCGCAATAAATGACCGTCCACTCACATATGTCTCTTCAGATATTAAGGACACACAACCACTGACACCTTCTCTTCTACTTAATGGACGATGCGCACTTCCAAAATATTTTGTGGCCCGGAGAAAGATCATGAAGAGGAAACGAACCAAGACCAGTTGACGAAAACCTTTATTCGAAAAAACAGAACTTTTTTATTGATTTACATCAACGGTGGAAACAGGAATATTTAACAAGTTTACGCAAACACCATCGTTGTCTCGGGAACAATGTTCAGACCTTGAAAGTGGGAGATGTCGTCCAAATTTACGATACCTGTCCAAGAGTAAACTGGAGACTTGGAATGATAACAGAACTTTTGGAAGGCAGAGATCACTATTAGCTCACCTCAACGAAGTTGGGGGAGCTTATGTAATACCGTCGGCGTCGGTGTCGGCGTCGGTGTCGGCGTCGGCGTCCTGGGTTAAGGTTAAGTTTTTTGGAGCAGTTTTCTTTTTAAGTACTTCTATGTCCTATATTGATTAGACATGCATGGAAGATGGTTCTAGTGTGTTTCATTGTACCAGTCAAAGTTTCAGATGCTGCAATTTCAGCAAAGGAATGACCAGGTTAATGTTTTGGAGCAGGTTAACATTTTTGGTGCAGTTTTTGGTGTAGGTTTCATTTCCAAGTAACTATAAGCCCTATGTTGACCAAACTTGCATGGATGATACATCTAAGGATGCATACTACCGGGCTTGCTTCGGATGCTGATTCTGACCTACATTTTCCGGTTGAGTGAACAGGTTAAAGTTTTTGGTGCAAGTTTCATTTCCAAGTAACTATAAGCCCTATGTTGACCTAACTTGCATGGATGATACATATAAGGATGCATACTACAGGGCTTGCTTGGGATGCTGAATCTGACCTACATTTTCCGGTTGAGTGAACAGGTTAAAGGTTTTGGTGCAGGTTTCATTTGCAAGTAACTTTAAGCCCTATGTTGACCAAACTTGCATGGATGATACATCTAAGGATGCATACTATAGAGTTTGCTTCGGAATCTGAATCTGACCTACATTTTCCGGTTGAGTGAACAGGTTAAAATTTTTTATGCAAGTTTCATTTCCAAGTAACTATAAGCCTATAAGGTTGACCAAACTTGCATGGATGATACTTCTAAGGATGCATACTACCGTGCATGCTTCGGATGCTGAATCTGACCTACATTTTCCGGTTGAGTGAACAGGTAAAAGTTGTTGGTGCAGGTTTCATTTGCAAGTAACTTTACGCCCTATGTTGACCAAACTTGCATGGATCATACATCTAAGGATGCACACTTCCGGGCTTGCTCGGATGCTGAATCTGACCTACATTTTCTGGTTGAGTGAACAGGTAAAAGTTGTTGGTGCAGGTTTCATTTCCAAGTAACTATGAGTTCTTTAATGACCAATCTTGCATGGATGATACATCTAAGGATGCATACTACCAGGCTTGCTTCGGATGCTGAATCTGACCTACTTTTTGTGGATGAGTGAAAATGTTAGTTTTTGATGCATGTTTCATTTCCAATTAACTATGAGCCCTATAATGAGCAAATTTGCATGGACGATACATCTTTGGATGCACACTAATGGACTTGCTTCGGATGCTGAATTCGACATACATTTTTCAGATAATAGACCAGGTAAAAGTTATGGGTGCAGGTCTATTACCAAAAAACTATAAGGCTTATATAACATTGTATAAACCAAACTTGCACAAATGTTGCATCAAGAGATGAAAACTCTCAAATTTGCTTCAGATGCTGGATTTTGATTACATTTTCATGAAGAAGAACTAGTTTAAATTTTTTATGTAGGTCTATTGCAAAGTATCAGATCAAAATTGCTTAAATATTTTCATATTTGGAATGTACACTTTTTGTTGGTTAATTGTGTGACTTTGCCTTACTTAAAGACAACATTCGTTGAGGTGAGCTCTGTAAACTCTGATTACCTATGTTTTTGCGTTCTGCTATACTAAAAACTAGCAATGGTC